GTAATGGTATTTAACCTAGTTCGACAATCAGGTTTTTTCCCTTGAAAAGCCAATTGAGAGTACGAGTGGGTTAATTTACCATTTTCCGCTATTTAATTATTGTATTTTTATTTTGCAATTTTGGTCTTCATTTTTTTTAATTTTACTTTTTATGTTTGGGATTTTATCATCTATGTTTTATTTGTATTTTCCTTTATTTTTTTTTCCGTCGATCTATTTTTTCATGGGAGTTAACTGTTTCACATTCACCACAAGGTCAGATTAATTTTTCGTGCATTACAAGTCTTCCAGCATTAATTTTGGCAGTTTTTTTAGCTTTTTACAGTTTTACAGTTTTTTTTTCCAGTTTTTCCAGACAAACTTTTCTTAGTTTTAATTTTTGTAATACTGCGTTAAAATATTTCGTGGAGCTACAGCTCCTGGTAACTTTTTAGCAAGATCGCAGCAATGTTTCTACCTACTACTATTATTAATTTAAATAATATTCTCCATTTTTCAATAAATAAAACGCTATTAATAAATTCAAATATCATTATTAGAAATAATTTTTAAAAAGAGATGTTTTCATAATTCATTTTTTATTCTCTAAGAAGTACAATATCGGCACCGGCTTATTTTTTTTCTTCTTTGAACATTTTGTCTTCACAGATTTCTTTGTAACGATAAATAGTGCAGTTTCGAATTACACACTGCTTATCGTACAGCAAACTGTAAAGCTAAGTTTAACAGTGAGATAAAATTTCATAACGTATCACGCGTCCTAATAATGTTTGTAATCATTTCAATATTTTTTTATAGTTGTGCAACTGTTTAATTCTTGAATAGGTACTTCAAAAATATTCGTCGTCTCCCGTCGTTCGTTTGCTCTCCCGTTCGTTTTTAAGCCTGATTCTCATTTATGTTAATAAATGTTTATCTAGTTCATTAATATTCGATTTGATGCACTCAGTTATGTTGATGACATCTGACTCACTGAAGCCAGTTGCTAACCAATTCCACTGTGTTATTAATGCGCAGCAAAACCAACGAAATCATTTGCACAGTTTGCAATAGCTGGGAAAGCTCAAGAATAAACGGTCTACTGAGCATAAGATATGCAATGAAGAACTCTAGAAAATATTGAAAATGTAACTTTAAAACGCGTAAAAAAAACCCCAAAACTTGACTGTATAAAGGGGAAAACCGATACTTATGTAATAAAAATAATTTTGTTTCTTATTTTTTACAATTTATATTTATTTTGTTCTATTTTGTTTTGAAATTTAGTACCCCTCTAGTATAGTGGTAACCCTCTAGTGGTAAACATTGTGATAAAAGATTTATTTCAAGCGGTTTTATTACTTATAGCATGGAATTACATTTGGGAAAACCAGAATGGTGGAATTATGAATTACTTCTATTAGTTTAAAAAATGTATGGTTCAATTAATTAATAAAATGGAAAGAGGTATATTCTATGTAAACTCGGTTTTTATATACTTATACAAAGCTACATGTTCAAATCACTGCAACAAATACATAGCTAACATATAAAATAACAATTTGAGTTCTATAAATAAGTAAGGCTTGTTACACTCTACGTCAAATTTTTTAATCGTAGCTGGCTATGATGTACACTAGAAAGATACTCACAGCCCTCTGTACCATTAAGAAAAAGTTAAATAAAATTAAATTTCAATAATCTTTAGTATTTAATAGTTAGAGCAATAATTCCACTGATAAATCGTTAAATGGCACAAATATTTTTCATGTCTTTTTGAAGGAGGATATTGTTTCTGAAACACTAAAAACGTGCACTATATAAGTTTCATGCATTTTTATAAATCTGATATATCTGTAAAAATATAAGTATATATCTATAAAAATAAGTATATGTCTATAAAAGTTGCACTATAAAAGATTCACTCCAAAAATTTTATATGTTTGACACTCTCAAAAAACAGCATCTAAATTCAAAAAGTTGCATCTATATTAGTTTGATTGCATAGAATATTTGCTGTCAAAACAAAACCTCATCTGAAAACTAATCATGCCAGCATTCGAGGAAATTTTCGAATGCCCTTCAAATTGAACATTCTTAAACAAAGACACATCACAAATATATTCAAAACATCTCAATCAAGTATATATTCGAAATATTTCAGGAAGATTTTTCACCCTGAAATAACCTTCAAATGTCACATCTATTTCGTGGAAGAGACATCGACTTAAGATTAATTGTTTACGTCTTTAGGAGACATATTTAGCTCCTGAAAAATATACTTACACTAGATGAAGCGTGACTTTATTTATCAAAGTATGACAAAAGAAAAACATTTTGAGACAAACACTTTCAAATGAGGTTTTGATAATCGTAGGGAAGTTCTGAAAGTTTTATTGTAGTAGCAAGTTTTGAATGTGTTGTGCCGTCAAATTTAGAAAACTGCATTCAGAAATATAATTTAATTCAGTCTGCTGTTAAACTAGTGTCATAGAGTCAATATTTCGAAATTAAGTGCCGATATTGTGCATAGAAAAAGTGTCTGGCTGTCCAGTGATAGTCAGATGCAAGCTACTCATTACGGTTAATAGTAAATTGTTTTGGAAATTTAACGGTGAATATTAAATACATGCTAGTCACACCTATTTAATTACGTCAAATCTCTAGATACCTCCTTGCATTATGTTTTTTTCTTTGGGGGGGCGGAGTCTCTTGCAAAAAAAATATTTTAAGCTCATAAGCAATAGGAAGTATATCGAAAAACGTTTCAACAAACGTTCGGGAAATTCCATGCAGAGCTACAATAAGTAAAGAACCAATGCTTTCGGACGAAACATATTAAATATTGTAAATGTGATTTTAAATTTTAGGAAAAGGTGTTATAATGAATTTTCTGTTTTTCACATAAATGAAGTTTTAATGTATCATGCTAAATTATGATAAAATAAGAATTTACGTTTTTAATAATTTTATGCTTTTGTTCAATAATTTTTCAGTTATTTCTTATCACTCAGCATTAAAATTGTAAAGCGGATATAAAAATTGATATCTTTCATGCATCGCATTTTTAAATTAATCACTCAAGTATGAATCTATTTAACTAGAGGTACTTCGTCATTTTGAATCCAAGTTAAGACATAAACAAAACTTCGATATAAAATTCTAAAACTTTCAAATTTTGAGATTTGTTATGACTGCTAAATACCATTATGCACTTCCATCTCACTTCGCATTATTTTCTAATTTTTTTTCTGTGTGCTTTTTGTGTTACGTTTTTGTTATTGTATGATTTAATGATATATATTGAACTAATGTTTACGTATTAACTAATAATAATTCTTATTTATGAAAATTATTGCACTTTCCTTCAACAGCAGTTCTGCATCATACCCTCAAAGATACTTGTATAAAAATCAAAGGATAGCCAAATAGTAATACTCACAGTCAAGAATCCCAATAATCCTTCTTGACACAAATAATACTTATAATTCATTCCCAGTTACCAGTATATAAATATCATGAATTAAAGACCATGGTGGCTATTACGGGAACTATGAGTCAAATCTTCGGCTGTTAATCATGAAGACCGTTTCATCGATATACCTTGCCCTGTTTCGTATTAAAATTCCTTAACTTTAAATGTAGCAACTCCAATCTATAACTCCACCGTTCCTTAGGAGAAAAAACATGCAGTCAATTCATTTTTTTAAATTCTAGCTAGTTAATGTATTAGGGAAATACTTGTTCGATTCTCTAGTGAAGTCTCTGGTATTTTTACCTGTATTAAAATTTCAGCTTGAGCGATACAACAGAGGCGGTCAAACATCAGGACAGTAGAAGCCACATGTTAAAATACAATAATATACAAAAACCTTATGGATATAAAAAGTAGTGAAAGCCACTGATCAAACAACTTAGTTGGAATCTTTACGGTGAGTTGAGGAAACAGTAGTGAAACTGTTTTGAATGTAACAAAATGTTTCGAACAAACCAACAAGGATGTTTTGTTTAAAAATGGTTAATTATAAGCAAATTAGTATTTATTCTTGCTATTGTTCTATAAACATAAATTCTGATATATAGATCTTAAAACTTTTTTACGCTAGCTTTAAAAAACATTTCAGATATTAAGCTAAGTCACCTTTACCCAGAAGTTTTTTCCAAAATTAATTTTAAAGAAAAAGAGAAAGGTTGGGAAAAGACATATATAAGTATAATATAGTAGTTCATAATAACACAGGAATTTGAAAAACAGCACTTAGGGATCTTTCCTTTAACTTAACCCAGACTAATTTTTCTCGAAAATAGGAAAATGAGTATGATGTGACATCACACATTTATGAGAATTGCAATCATTTTATAAAAATGTATTAAAATTAGCAGCTTAATAAGGCATTTTGAATAAAAAAATTATTTCTTAGTTTTTCACTCTCAGCTAATTTGAGGGCGAAGATATGACGTTCATGTTTATCCTTAAACCATTTTTTCATTATATACAATCTGTATAATCTGATACATTCTATACAATATTAAACATAATATGCTATATAAAGGTATGTATTCCTAATATCATGGTAATGGCTCTTGAATTAACGTTAGGAATATCAGTTTAATGAATATTCTATTAATGACAATACTGAATCTGTGCCATATTTTATTATGACTGCTTTATTTTAAGCTATAGGTTCAAATATATCTTAAGAGTTCCATTTAGTTTAATTATATCGTAGCAGTCTGGTAAGAATATTCTGTACCATAAGAGTGTCACATAAAACTTCTTGTATGAATAACTGTTGAGTGGCAATATATGTATGATATATTGCGATGGCTTCTGAATTTTGCTACATTTCTTGCCAATTTTCGTTTAAATTGGCCTAACAGAGAGATTTTCATATATAGTATTTCTCTCAAAATACTCATCATAGATCTAATATTAGATGTAAATATTTGTATTCGTAATTTATTCAGATGTTTACTTTTCCTGTTCTATTGTATTGCTAACACAAACGTTTCAATTCTAGGTGATAGCGGACTTTGGCAGAGGTGTCTTCTCTCCTCTGGGTGGCAAAAAAGGAAACCAAAAAAATTCTCTTTCCTATTACCAAAGTAAGCCAAGTTTCTATCGTGATCATTAACAACTGCAGTACGATGTTTGCTTAAAAATTCTAAGAAAGATCAACTAAAGCGTATTTTCTCTTTGACTCAGTTCGTTGATATAAGATGCTATTATGGGAAAGTATCTAAGCTTAAAACGGTTATGCGTTCACACATGTAGCGTAATAACATATAGGTATTTTCATACGGCGTGCGTAATTTACAAGCTAACTTATGTCCTTCGTACATATCTGTAAAGAGATACTAATAGCGATAATTTTATGTCAGATATAAAAAACGAGGAACATTTAAAGTATTTGAAGCTACCTTTCAATATCAGCAAACCCTTGCCTGAATATATCTATAACAGTGTGTAACTATAAATGTACGTATAAATATATAATAAAATGTACCTATAAATATACCTATATAAACCTATAAATGTACCTATAAATATACCTATATAAACCTATAAGAGTGTATACCTATAAATATGCTTATATAAACCTATAAATATACTTATATAGATCTATAACGGTGTATACCTATAAATATACCTATATAAGCCTATAACAGTGGTCTCGGACTTAAATTGCATGCGTGCCGAATATACGATCAAGAAGCAGGCGTCAGGCCATTTTTTCTTTTCTTTCTTTCATTTTTTTAATCAAAATGAAACTTTTTTTGACAAAATTAATTTGCATCTAAATTTATAATTTTAGTTATTAAATATTTATTAAAACATACATTAATGGTAATAATAATGACGCAAAGCCGAAAAAATTCAATTTATATTTAGACTGATATTTATATCAAATAAATCTAATGTTTTGAATTAACTACCAAATAATTGACTTAAAACTGAAAATAAGAAAACTTTCTAAATGAGATAAAATTTGAGAATAAATAATGACAATATATTATGATTCTTTTATTTCTCAAATTTTACATTGATGCATTTAGTAAAAACGCGTATATTTGTATGTAAATTATTATAAACTTCTTTATTTCTTACTGAAGCTTTCAGCTATATCATCTTATGACGTTTCAGTTCAATAAAGTCTGTAACCTTAGAGAAAAATTTCTAGAAACTATTTTTATAAAGAATTATAGATGCTCATCGATCAGCGTGATTCTTTTTAGAGACTTCTTAATTTTCAACTGCAGAGAAAAAAAATCTTAACATATAAATGTTAAACAAAATCAAAACGATTATTGCTTCTGCAAAAATTCTTAACTGAGGGTAGTTATCCTTTGACAAGCATGAAAAAAGTTAATAAAATCTGTACCTTCAAATCTCGAATAAGATTTATATCACAGAGTAAATTAACTCCATTTGTAGATTTCTGAGGCGTTACGCACGTTCATTTATGAATAAATATAAACTTGGACTCAAAATCATTAAAATCTTAAATTTTCTTCAATTTCTTGCCGTAGTAAATAATGTTATAAGAATACTAATTAATTTATGGGAAATGTGTTTGCGGGCCACCAGTTTGAGGCCACTGATCTATAAGATAATATGCGAATGGCTTTGGTAAATGCTACCAAAGAATGGTGCAGAAGCATACATCCCACCGTTAGAAATAAGAAAAGGGTACATTGCAATTTATTGAGAGATATTCATATCTTATATATAATATCCAAAAGAATTATAATATAATATCCAAAAAAACTATTACATTAGAAAGACTATTTCCATTGCAGTTAATGTAGCTGTACATGGAAATTTCGAATAAAGCGACGGTGCATAATGATACATCTGATGATTTCAACATAACGATGTGCTTCTTTTTCAACTCAGCATTATGCATTAAGTTTCGACATGATATTAATATCAAAATTAAGTAGGAATGTTTTTTAAACCGTATTCCTTGGTGATTTTTCGCGCATTTAACGCAATTGAGGCGTTTGAGTACGCTATCCTCTATTTAGCATAGTTTTATTCAAGAATCATAAGTTAGAATAACTACAAAATCTTTATATTTAATTAGTTAGAGAGTTTGTTTGACTCAAATAAAATACAAATCAAAGTTAACAGTCTTTACAAACATTTAAATTGAAGTGCTGAAATAAAGAGCTTACAAGAGACTTATTTATAAGTTTTAAATAGCTTAAGGCTTATCTATTAGGCAATATTATCAGGAGTATATTCCGTAAAAGAAGACAACATGATGAAAATAATGAAGCACAAGTGAAATATTAGCTCAAAATCTATTTAAGACTTCTGTATCCGAAACATAGGTAGAATTCTCTCTCGCCAATATATCGTCTGACGCTCGTTTGCTTTCTGACGTTGCCGAGATTCATTATGCAAAAGTGAGACTAATTTATTCTAATACATCTGATTTCCCGGTTTAGTTTTCTGATTTATGTAAGTGAACAGCTAGTTTAAAGAATATATTACGCTGCCGTACTGTATCCAGGAACTTAAACCGCATATTGTGTGAAACTCGCTGAACCGATGTAATCAGTATACGAGTATTTAAGTTTTTTTTTTTTTTTTTTTTTTTTTTTTTTTTTATGAATCACTTCAACGTTATATGGTACTTTCTGCTTACCGGCACTCTCCGTTTCAACCCTCAATAGCACTACTATGTTTTTGGCGTATTTTAAAATATATATATGCTTGACACTAACCAGCCCACGCATGAGAAAACCATGAGTTTTAGTGTTTGAGTACGTGTGGATTTGCACGCTTTATATGATCCTTCATCTCGCTTATCAGTCCCCTTAAGCGCACAGTTTCTCCTATGACTGTATATACGTAAAGATCAGCTATATAAATATATAATTTCCTGATATATTAAATAACGCTCAAAATAGTTTCGTTAATATTGCTTGTTTCTTTTAAAACATGTTTTTTTTCCTGTTTATGAACAGTGCTTATAAGATGCAAAAGCAGCCAAGCAAACACTTTTCGCCGATTCATAAAGTCGCCAATAAATTAGTCACTTTTCAGGAAATGCTGATAATCGGAAAGTACCGATTATGTTGATTGTATAAATATCTATTTTACTAGTGTAATTTTTAAGACTTGAGTATGTATCGGTGAACTGCAATAAATCCTCTTCCTGCTTGTAAGAGTTTTGGGGATTATTTCTGCTCAGTACCACTCCATCGCACATTAGCCATGAAAACTGTCAGATCCTCACTTCCCATCCTGTACATAGAGTTATGGCATGTTAATGTTACATGTTGTAATATTTCAGTAAAAGCAAATCATCAATGAATACCTGAAATGAATAAGCGAACCGGTACGAATGTTAAGCAACAAACAGATAAATTAGTATATTTGGCGAAAGAAATAACATTTAGTCTTAAAATGCTGTACGCATGCAGAAACTAGCCCGTAGAATACATTTTACGCACCAATATATTTTAGAAAACATGTATCGTATAAAAAGGGCCTTTTTGGAATTTTTAATTTCTTATTTCATATTTTCTTATCTAAATATATATAAATTTTTATCACTTATAAAATATATTAATTGCGTGCCAAAACACTTTTTTTCTGTTTAAAATTATAAAGGATATCTTTAACCAAACTATTTGCAAACTTATTTTCAAAAATAAAACGAAAAAAAAAACAAATTTGATCGTAACTTTTTCTGAAATTAGTATCTTTCTCCCTCCCTTTTCTCTTCTTATGAGTTTTAAAAGCCCTAAAGCTAAACTCTCATTTTTTAAGTAAGCAACAAAATAACTTAAAGTTTAGTTTTTTTAGAGTAAATAAGAGTTCTTTTACTTGTAATCTCTTTCTAAACTGCCGCAACTACTATCAGAGCCTGGCCCCGTGCGGTAAACCCTTGTGAAACGCGATTTTGCGTTTGCGCGTGATCTTAATTGTCTCCATTTAATTTCTCCAACGCAAAAATGACTCCTCTTTAATGACTGGTTTGAAAATTCATTCATTCTATAAGTCAAAATTACTTGGAACAGTAAAATCTGAGCTTTAAAATTCTCTTCATTATTGATAATGCTCCGGAACGCGATGCTGAAGCCCTGACAACACTGCATTCAAATGCAAAAGTTTAATTCTTTCCACCGAATACCACTTCCTTAATCCAACCAACGGATCAAGGGATCGTAAAAACATTCAAAACCTGTTACGTCAAACATATTTACATAGCTGCTAGTAAAGCACTAGATGAAGGAAAGCACGACACACTAACGACATTTCGGAAGCGATTCAACTTAAGACACTGCATAAAAATGGTTAAACTCACGCGAGAACAAATAAATTCACCAGCAATGAATGTTTTCTGGCATCAACTCTGGCCAGAAGTTGTCAACAATCTTTAAAGATTTCCATCAGTTAAAAATGAAGCCGAGAAAACCGTACAAATTGCAAAAGCAAAGGCAGTAAAGGATTTTCAGGTATGGAAGAAGGAGAAATCAAAGAATTAGTAGTGAATGAGGATCGCGAAACGTCAAATGAACAACTGGATAATGCTAGCAGACGATGAATGTAGCGAACAAGAAGTTAAACGAATTGTTATATACAGTTTAACTCTTTTGAGTAACATCCACTGCTAAAATTTTTTCTAGACGATAAGCGATTTATCGCTAAGTGCAACAGAAACTTGGGAAGGGTGTAAAAGACCTTTTATTCAAAACTAAAAAGATGAACAGAAAGTACCCCTAGTTCTTACAATTCCCCCAGCATTTATGGCGAAAAAACAAAACCAATAAACCAAACGTAAAGCTTAAATTTAAAGAAATTAATAGCCGAAGCTAAACAGAGCAGAGTACGCGAAGCTGGCTTAGAACTTTACCGGCGCAGATTGAACTATTGGTAGTTTTAATGCAGACAGAACTCTTATCTTAAGTAGAAACCCTAGTAACGTGGACAATTTGTAACGAGGATAAATTTATCACGTATTGTTTTAGAAATATAAGATGTGACACCTGATCCTTTATTCCAATTTTTTTAATAGGGCTTGCTAGAAAAGGATCAAATTTTGCTATAAGTTCGAGTATACCAAGATAACTGTCATTGTGAGGAGAAC